TCTTTATTTTTAGTTATAGTCTTCTTGATTTAAATTAGTTTGAATTACTATATTTGAGGGACCTGTAAGTCATGAATTTAGTCTAGTACTGGCAGGACTAATAAGTATTATGCTTGGTGAAAAATTAGTAATTCTGAAAAAGAAAAAAATAGTAAATCTAAGAGAGATTCTAGAAAATAGTTTTGACTAGGAAAGTCAATAAATATTACTGTAGTCATTCTGAAATTTTAAAGATAACTTCTTTGAAGAATTCTATATCTTTTCTACTAAGCTTACCTTAGTAAGAAAATGTCATCCTGATTCATAAATCAAGTGATGGTCTTTTTTTTTGCTTTTATAAAAAGAGACTTTAAAGAAGGATTAACAAAAAAAAAAGAAATGTTTTGTATTTTTTAAAATCAACATAAAAAATTATTTACTAGACCAATTTTAACATTTCAACTACTGTTAAAATCATTGGACTCTGATCTACAACATTACTTAAGAGCTCAAGATATGATAACTTAGTATCAACCCAATTTTCAGAACAATTTTAAAGACAATTTTAGAACAATTTACTGTGCCACATAAATAGGAAACTGAAAATTTTTATAATCTGAATTAGATTATATTATCTATAGAATTCTCATTTCTTTTAGGTTCTATTATGTTCTGAAATACTAAAAGAGATGACTTTTGAATATTATTTATATATTTATACCCTTTTATTTAAAACAAAAAAAATTTACATCTTTCTTCGACTTTGACTACTTTTCCCAACCCTATCATCCAATTCAAATTGTCTTCAATCTTCTCATTCCTCATCTAAACCAATCTCTTCTTCATTTTCTTCTATCATTACCATTTTCTCTTTCTCCTTACCCTTATCTTTATTCTCATAATCATTTAAATCTATAACATCACAATCTATTTTTTCACCAAATTCATCTTCTTTATCTCTATTTAATGAATTATAGAATATTAGTATTATTTAATTATATATTATCATTATTATATTTTAATTATATTTTTTCTTCATCTGAATCTCTTATTGTTATCAAACTATTTAAAATATCTTCTTCTTCTTCTTTTTCTTCTTTTTCTTTTTTCTTTTTCTTCTTCTTCCTTTATTATTTCTTCTATCTTCTTTCTAATTTCTTTATTCATATAATTCATTTTTTCTCTTTCCCATTCTTGCTTTTCTTTACTCCATTTCAACTCTTCTCTTTCGATTTTACCTTTCAAACTCAACTTTTCATTTTCTAATTGTTTTCTTTCTTTATTCCATTTCATCTCTTCTATCTTAAGCTTATTCTTCCATTCATCTCTCTCAACTACCAACTTCATCTTTTCTTCTTAAACATCTCAATATTTCGACCTCATATACTCTACTCATTTATGACTAAAAAATGTCCTACTTACTTTCTGATCAAACTGCTCTATCTCTTTAATCTGTTTATATAATTCCTCATATTTCTTTCTTCACTTCCTACTCTTCTTACTAATAAACAAATCATCATCTTCTTCCTTCTCTTTTTTCAATGAATTTTTGATCACTTTTTCATGTTTTATTTCTCCTTCTTGATACATTCTTCTTCATTCATCCTGACTATTCTTTGCAATCTTCACCTTATGCTCCAACTTATCATTTTTCTCCTCCAAATACTTAATTCATTCTTCTCTCTTATAATAATAATCTTATTAATATTATAAAAAGATTATTTTCTATAAAATTATCAAATACTACCACATTCTATCCCTATTTCTTTCGTCTCTATTATAATATTATTATTATTTAGAATTATTATTATTATTATTTTTTTTTATCATTATTATTATTTCTTTTATATTCATACCTTCTTCTTCTTGCTTCCTCTCTGGATACCTTTTTCTTAAAGTTCTTTGTTCGATATTTCATTTTCACTTTCTTCTTTTTAGACTTTAATTTTTTTTACGATTAGAAAAACTTTTATTTTACTCCTTATATTACACTAAACCTTATTTACAAATTACATAAAACTTTGAAATACTATTGGACAATCACTCAATAATAGTTGATTATCAAAAACTGTACGATAAACAAAATTAGTAAGGTATACTATTATAGTAAAATGGATAAGGCGAATGTATAGCTGTTGCATAGTCATATGTTCGAATCCAGCTAATAGATGTGTTAACTCTACCTGACGAGGTTTACGATAACAGTATTAGCCTGTAGTAGTATAAGTAATGTTTGGACCCAGCTACAATATTTCATCCGGGTTACCCGTATAACTTGAAATCGGGTTATCCGGGTGAAAACAGGTTATATATTTATATCATTCAGATTACCTGTATAATCTTAAAATCGGGTTACCTAGATGCTATAAAATATACACATTTAATAATTTATAAAAAATTTAACTTTTTAATGAATTATAGGTACGCGATAGTTAAATTTTTATTAGCATTACTAAAAAATTTATTATATTGCATATATGCTAACCAACATTATTTCAATATTATTTTTGATTGAAAATTGAAATTGCATCAGAATTTCGTTTCATAAACATCAATTTACCAACCAACTTGGGATTTAATCGATTGCGCTTAGCAGTAACATGATTGCCCGCATCTGAAAATAACCTTTCACTGGGCACAGAAGATTGGGAATAGATAAGTATTTTTGAGCTAATTTTGCTACATTAGAAAATCATTTTTTCCAACTTGCCCACCACTCGAATGGGTTCACAGTATCTTCAGCGATAGGAGTTTGTATCGGATTCAGATAGCATTCTAATTCAGATAAAGGATTAGAAGTAGTGTTAAATGTAGCAGATGCCCTAAATATTGATGAGTGAAAACGACTATGGCGTAAATTATTATTTGGAATATTTGATGAATTAGATGTTGGCATTGCTTTTTCTAAATCTGAAGCAATTAGCTCTTGAAATTGACGTGCTAATTCACTTTTTGCCCTTTTTTGAGTTTCATCATCCCAAGTAGAAAGTGTCTTTAATCAGGGATCCAAAAGCGAAGCAAGCAAACCAATCATTATTGGTTCATTCCAATACTCAAACAAAGAATTATAGATTGTACGTCGCATTATCTTAATAACTTGAGTATTAAGTAAATGTTCTCTATTGACTAACGATTCTGTATCTGAATCTTCGTCACTATCATCATCGGATGATTCTTCATGACAAAAGTTGGGTGTTTCTATTTAGAAAATAATAAATATATTATTTATAAATTTGCTTTTATACAGGATAATTACAAGCTATTAAATATTTTAACAATACTTTCATTATCATTATCGACGTCATTATCTTCATCGTCATCACTAATTTCTTCGAAATCAACGAACGAATATTTAAGAACTTGAATTAGTGGATAAATAACTGATAAAGTAGCATATTGTGACCCACTAAAATAAGCAGTGGCATCATCAAATGGCTCTATTAATATTACTATTTGGTTTAATAAATCCCATTCATTGGGTAAAAGAAGCCGTTTGTTTAATTTTTGATCATCAATTCGATCATCTCGATTATCAGACAAGGTTAACGTTGCAGCCAACCATTCAATTGCTTTGCGCAATTTTATTAACCATCTCCAAGAATGAAATTTGAAATTCTAGCGTGTTTCTGTATCTACAATGTTTCACAAAATAGAATGTCTAGAATTCATATTATTTGATAACAAATCATCTGAATTACTATCAGAATTATTTAATTCATTAGTTAAATCAACACTATTCTGAATTACAGAAGTTGCAGATAAACATTGTTGATATTCTTGTTGGGCTTCATCTAAACGTTCGCTTTGTTTAGGAGAATCAGTGAAAAACCGGACTAGTTTTTTTATTCTTCTAATATGTGTATTAATTTTTTTAAAAGTATGACCAATTGAAAGTTGCAAAGTATGCGCTGCACAAGGCAGACGCACAACTCTATCCCACAAACGGATTGCCTTTACCATGTTACTACCATTATCTGTTGTGATACAAGTGATTTTTCCATTTAAGCGAAATTCCATTATTTTTTCTTTTAAAAAAGCAACAATGTTTTCAGTGGAATGAGGATAAGCCATATGTTCCATACAAAGAAGGCAATCATACACCTTAAAATCACTTGATAACCAATGAACCGTTAATCCTATATATCCATGCTTGCTTCGC